GGCGGGGGGCGCGTCCCTACTCTCATGGCGGCGGCTAGGAGCCTACGCGGCCGTCGGCAGCGGGGCCTGGGCTCGCGCTCCCCTGAACCTCCCCCCCCTCCCCCCCCCCGAACAGTGCTCCGTGTCCTGACGGCGCCGCGACACGCTTACAGGCTCAGTCCTCAACCATGGCTCGGCGTGCGGCGCAAGGAGCGCGGGGCCGGTGCACGGGGGTCGTCCCCCGGACCGGAGCGCCCACGCAGAGAGATGGCCCATACACTCCCCTGCATATTCGGTCCCTGTCCGCTGTCGGCTGTCTCGGCTGTCTCGCTCGCTCGCTCCGAACTCTGTCTAGTTTTCGCACACGCCACACCGTTTGTCTCGACTTAGAGCACTTACTCTGCGGGCGTCGGTCGGGGCGGCGTCGCTCTTATCATCTGCAGTTACGAGTTTTACCAAAATTGCGCGCGCATGCGGGACGTATGGGTCCGGGGCAGGGGCGGTCCTCTCGTGTGCCCCGGGGGAGGTTCAAAGGACCACGCTGCACGCAACTCAGTGGCACCACAACTGCCGAGGTGCGGGAGTTGGCAGTTGCGAGTGCCGACACAGATGCACACGGCCGGGAGGCCGGGCGCCGGTGGTGTGAGAGCACACGCGCTCCCGCGCAAGGATGCCGCGTGCAGATCATCGAGGCAGCACGAGCAGCCAGCATCGACGTGGACTGTGAGTTCCTCACCCGCGGCCGACGCGCCACGCCTCAGCACGGAGATCACGCGGGCTTTCTCTTCAGCGTGCTAATATAGAGCACGTTGTTGCCGCGGATGAAGGCGTCGCCGTACTTAGCCTTGAGCTGGCCATTGTGGTACTCCTCCGTCTGCTCCATCGCAATGTTCATGAAGCCGTCGAGGCACGCCAGAACGCCGCGGTAGTCGACGCCCGAGTTGAGCTTGACCACGACCGGGCGGCCGAGCACGTTCTTGAGGAACGCGGACGGGTTCGACGCGTTCGGGTTCTTGGACATGACCCGGGGAGCGTATGTAGTGGGGATGTGTTCGGTGGCGGTGCGCGTGAGGGGCTCGTTGGGCCAAAAAAAACGCCGAACTGCAAAAAAAGCTCATGGATAAGCAGCTTTCTCAGAAGGAAGGGTCTCCTGCTTAGTTTTACGGAGACTCCGTGAAGTTATTAGCATCATACGTCGTAGTATCGGCAGTGCCCTTGGTATATGCTCTGTTGCTCTCCCGACCTCACGTATTCCGGCTCGGCGGACCCGATCGCCAAACCGGATTCCCACCCACACCCTGCGTCACTCATGAACGCCATTGCAGCCGGCAGACATACATTGGGCAATGTGCGCATCGGCATGGCTCATAGCGACAAGCGGCCCTGGCTAGTTCGCCGCAATCAGCTACTGCTGATGAAGCGGACCAGCTCGTCGATCGTTGCCTGCGGACGGTGCAGTGGCGGGTTCGTGATGCGGACGGTGCAAGCGCCTCTTCGCAGGGCAAGGCAGGAAATTCTGCATGTCCCACACCTTGTTGAGGCCCTGATCGAGCGGGTAGAGCATCTCCTCATTGAACGTCATGCACGCCAAGTTGAAGCCTGCGCCACCGGCCCCGAGCTTCTCCCGCACGTACCTTTCGATCGTCGCGTCGTCTTTTGAGGAATGGTCCGACTCATTGACCATGAAGACAACCAAGTTGCGCGCGCCTGACGCTCGAGGGAAAATTGGTCAGGCGCATGCTGGCAAGCCCGTCGCATCACAGATGGCGGCACCTGTGCAGAACGTGGTGATCCGATCCAGCTCTGACGGAGACACGCGCTCGCCCTTACGAAAGAAGTAGACGCAAGGCTCGGCGCACGGACCGCTCTGCTGCTCTGCCCATTCAATTTGCTGCGTGCCCACTCGCGTTGCAGCAGCGTGCGCACGGATCTGTTGAGGGTGAGAAAACAGCCCACCCGTCTCGCCGTACACGGCCCTGACTGAGCGCACGGGCGGCGGCCTCGGCGCAAACGAGCTGAGCGATCCGCCTCTCCGCAGCCTCTCGTTCTCCAGGAGCAAGCTGTTCATGATCTCCTCGAGCAGCTGTACCCGCTGCGTCTTGTCGCAGTCTTGCAGCATGGGAAGCCTCCGATACGTGCTGATGAGATCAGCGCTCGATGCCGCTCGCGGCCGCTGCAGTTCGGGCCTGCCAAACATACCAAACATCGTGAGGGCGGCTCTCCGCCCGCATGCAGCCCCGCAGCAGTTTCACGTAGCCAGGGGGGAGCGGACGTTTATCGGATGGACGATCGCGCGCCTCGTCCATTTGGACAAGTAGGGGGAGGGAGCGCCCCAAGCTGTCTAACCCGCGCACACAGTGGCTTCTGAGCGGCCCATGAGCGGCACCATTCTTACTGCGCGCGACAACAAGAAGGCATTCTACAGTCTCCTCCGCCAATCGTCGCAGCCGGGATGGCGCAAGAAACCGAAGCTGCAGCTCCTCTTCGACTCGAGCCGCGACGGATGGAACTGTCCGACGTTCCACCAGAAGTGCGACAACCGTGGGCCGACCGTCAGCGTCTGCCAGATGCAGGACGGGACCGTCTGCGGCGGGTTCACGCAGACCGACTGGAGATCCAGCGGCAACTATGTTTCCTCTGCCGGCTCAGCGTTCCTCTTCCGGCTTAAGTACCGTGGGCAGCCTGCGCCATACCGAGCGAACTCAACTGGTAGCAACGACCTTATGGATAGCAGCAGCTACGGTCCCACGTTCGGAGGCGGGCAGGACCTCATGCTATTCTACAACAACAACTATACATCGAGCAACGGCGGAATCAATATGAACAGCTATTCATATCCGTACGATCCGCTCACGGGAGGCTCCTACCCGCTCACCGGAGGCTACTCTCAGATGACTCAGCCAGGGAACAACTACCGCGTTAGCAATCTCGCCGCCCGGCGAGGCACGGACGAGACCGTGTGTGGGGTCTAGTGAGGTGTCTATGGACGCCCTCCTCTGCTACGGACTCCCTCACTAAAAAAGAAACTTGCGGCGGACGGTTCCAGGACATTACTGTGTCTCGCGCTTGATGATTGATCTCGCGCCTACATTCATTACGTTTACGGGGGGACGAGAGAACTGTCGGCGAACGTCAACTCAGGGTGCCTAGTGCCTGCTACCACCAAGACAGGCGCCGCCTTTGCTGTGTCGCGTCCTCCGCGTCGCCAGCCCACCACATTTGCTCGCCATCCGCGCATCACCGTCCACAACAGCCCGCCCCATACCTCCTCAGCCCCTCATCGTCGCCGCCCCAAACGCCGAGAGCGCCCTTCGCCCATCGCATCGCCCTCGCGCCCCTCAGCCGCCACCACCTCCGACAGGTCGTTCGAAATGGCAGAGGAGGCGGGCAAGTACACGATCAAGAATCCCAAGTCGGTCGGCCACTGCAAGGCACAGCCCTTGACTGGAGGCGTTACGCTTGAGGCGCGCGTCGGCTTCACAGGCCGCCACCCCTTCATCGCGGACTCGACACGCCCTCTCCCGATGAACAACAGGAGTGGGACATCGAGGACAAGGAGTTTTACGAAAAGGAGGGCCTCAACATCGCCACGCGCAACCTCTGGGCCTCCGTCCCGAACCTCCTCATGGGCTTTGCCGTCTGGCTCATGTGTGCGGAGTCACCTGCCTCCCCACCCTGAGCCCGCCGCCGCCCTCGCCCCGTCCCGCATGGGGGCTTTCCGCCGCACGCCCGCGCCCCGCGGCGGCGTCTTCAGGTGGTCCGTCATCACGACCAAGATTCAAGGTGGAGACCTGACTCGCCCGGACCTCCCTCTCACCCTAGCACCTTCTGCCTCTCACCTCGCCCTCAACTGCCTCTCCTCACCTCGTCCTCAACTGCCTCTCCTCACCTCGTCCTCAACCCGCATAGCCGCTCACACCGCCGACCCCGGCGTCTACTACTTCAAAGACTTTGCCCCGAGCATCGACGGCATCAACGAGGGCTTCCGCGGCTGCCCGGGTGCAGCCACGCCTCCCCCCCCCCCCCTCTCACCCTCGCCCACCCCCGCCCACCGCCCCTCCCGCCTCCGCGCCCTCCGAGCCAGGCTGGTACGACAAGGCGTGCTGCTCCACCTGGCAGAAAGCCACGCAGGATGCCTTCAATGATTGGCAGACCAAGAACTACGACG